GGATAACCACGGGCCGGGGTCTGCCATCCGTGAGGTCAGGCCTGGCCAGGGCAAAGCGCGCGCCCAAAGTGTCACCCGAGGACACGATGGCTGAGGCACGACGGCTACCTGTAGAGGCCACTCGTGGAGGGTCAATAGGGAACAATGACTACCGGCCCTTAAAAAGCGAGGCCGCGAGCAGAAGGGCATTCCCTAAATGAACTACTAATCCAAAAATCATATAACGAAGACTGGAAATGGGTGTGCAACCAACCGCTTAGCTGGAAGAAGAGGCGCTGCCTGGCCTCATTCGATGCCCGGGAAGAGCGGATTTTCTCAATCCACTGGTGTTCCGGATCATCGTTCATAACGAGTTCTTGTACAAACCCGATGAGATCACTCACGCGATAGCCCAATGGAATGGCAGGACCTGAAAGCAGCGGAAGCAGAGGTGGGCATATACGATGCTCCATGAAGCGTTAAAGCTAAGAAAAACAAAAAAATTTTTCTCTCTGACTAAGTGGAGGAGGCAAAGAACTCACTGAAAAAGAAGCGCACATTGAGGGAGGACAACTTCTGACGTGAGGAGAACATGTCGACGCGTATTGCCAAATTAATCTCCCCGCGAATTCCTTTAGGCAAGTGTGTGGTTATTAGGCTGACTACTTAGAACTTACCATGCATTGTGTCATAAAGGGGAAACCAACCGTGTAGGCTGCGTCTTTGGCCCGTCTGAAGTAGGGGAGTGAGGTCAAAGTATACGCGACCGATCGCGTCGTGAGCGCTGTAGGTATCATGATCTAGAACCCTAACATTTTTGCGATAGAAGACGATGAGCAAACGAGAATGTACCGTATTTGCAAGGTCTCAGCTCGGAGCGCGGCATCTCCTAGCTGGTTGGGACAAAAAGGTTGAATAAAACCAGAAAACAAACACTTACTTCGAAGCAAAACCAATCCGAGTTCCATTCTGGATTAAGAGAACGCCGTATTACCTCTGTTTTGAACATGATGCTTCCAAGGCGCAACTTTCGGCGGAAGGATGAAAACAGTCAACTAGCCTACCTCCACAAAAGCGTCCGTCAGAAACGATGCCCGATCCATTACCGGCAAATTGCGGGCGGCTAAGACTTTAACCTTCACGGTGCCCGGCATGATTGGGTCCCTGAACAGTGGACTGTGCTATAAGCAAAGTTCTGAAAGCAATCAAAACAGGAGAATCTTCAACTTGGAGTTCGACAATTCCTGGAGAGAAAGGAAATAATTTTTAAATAGGCCAAGGATGCACTCTTAAACATAGTGTACGATCCAGCTGGGGATAAACTGATTTGGCTGAAGAAAAGAAAACA